AGGTCCTTTCCCTATAAAATAAGGGGAAATTTATCCAAATACTCATATGAGATGAACTATTTACTATTCTATCCATATCTTTTGATTTTATTGCAAAATACCCATAAAAAAAGATACATCTTCTGATTTTATTGCAAAATACCCATAAAAAAGGTTCATGAGAATGAGTTGGAATACTTGCACAATGGGTAAAATGTTAAAGGGTGTGGTAAATAGCTCGTCTTTTATAAGTATTTTATAAATTTTCTAAAATAAATAAAATTACACTTTTTTTGCCATGGTTTACTCTTCCGTACTGACTCCAATAGATGATCCAACAGATGTCTGAAAATATGAGGCATCAAAATCGTTGGTTCTATTATACAAGGTGGCATGTCCTTCACGATAGTGGTCATCACAGAGGTAGCTCTAGCTAAGGACGGTTAGTGTAGTTGGTTCAGTGGGTTACTAAAACAACACTGATCAAATTTGGATTAGTAATTGGGAATCGGGAATTTGATTGATCTAGAGGCGATTGTCTGTTAGAGGATTGGACAAATTTATCAGATAAATGGACGATCGTATTAGGTAAATTGTTATGTTATCACCCATTTTATTTTTTATTATTTTTAACTTTTCAAAATTTTGAATTCAAAACTGTTATTTAATATATTGGACAGATTCCCAGAGATTCCCAGAATGGAAAATCTATCTAATTTGACCCAAATTGGGAATCTAGATCAATCCAATTAGTTGTCGATCTAGCCACCTTGTTCGGATTCTAAAACACTTAGGACGAATCATAGCAAAACTCTATTTAGATCTTTTAAAGAACTCCTATTTATAACATATTTAAGAAAATTTACATAAAATCCTATTTTATTTTCAAACTTTAAAAACAGTCCATTGCTTATATTTTTGCATTCAAGTCCCACTAAGACAATAAATTGTATTTTAAATATCACTTTTTTCTATAATTTAGATTAAGCTTAAATTTGATATGTTCATACTTCTCAACAAATTGTTTTTTAAATATCTCTTTTTTCTATAACTTAGACTAAGCTTAAATTTGATATGTTCATATTTCTCAACATTACACGCATATAAAATATCTTAAAAGGATAATTCAAAAGTTTATTTATTTTCAATTTTTTTTCTAATACTTTTAAATATACTTATAAAATGTGATATATATTTAACTATTTTTACATTTAAAAAATAAAGCTAACATTTTTATGTTAACTTCCCTAAATTTAAATAAAAATCGAAGTTTTGGAAAATGGCTTCAAAACTCAAATGTAGCTGTAATATCTTGTGTTTGACCCGGTTAGGACCAAAAGGTTTCTAATTATTTACTAGATAGTGTTGTAGATGCCTATGCGGGCTTAATAGCAATAGAAATTCAAGGCCTAAGTCTAACGGCTTAAGGGCAGATGAACAAACCAAAGCCAAAGCCGAAGCCCAAACCATCGAAGTGCTCTGTAGGGGGACTAACAAATGGGTGTATTATGAAATCACTGATGTTTGGCTCTCTAAAAACAATTCTTGAAAATTGCAAAGAGAGATAGATGATTGAGGTTTCACCAAAGAGAGAGGACACGCCCTTTGCAGGGTAGAGATCATTAAAGGAAAAAAATATTCATTTTCAGCCTATATTTTCACCTAAAATAAGGTAAAGACAGAAACGCAGGAAATTTTCCCTTCAATTCGGATGTTAAACATTAGAAATCATTGGATAGGCCTCATTTTCAAGGAAGAATATCTTGGAAGTTGCTTTTGAAGAACCCCCTTCAATTTGGATGTTAAACATTAGAAATCATTGGAGATGACTCATTTTCAAGGAAGAATATCTTGGAAGTTGCTTTTGAAGAAGCGCTTAATGGTGGCGCAACTGAACAGGTCCATAACCAAGCCCGAAGTGCATACTTGCAGCATTGGGCTTCACCTCCATTGTCCGAGGGTTCAAAAGTGGTGAACATGAATGGATACAATAGCAGCCTGCGGTAAAGCTAAAGCATTCAACATGCAAGAGGTCTCAATGTGCACCATAAAAGTCGAGAAAAGCCAACTCTTGAACATGAATGATCTGTATCTTAAAAATTGAGAAGAAAACACAGTTCCTTTATACACCACAACTTCCAAAATACTACTCATTGAAGATATTTACATCATGTCCATTTTCGAAAACACCCCTTGCCAATGAGCCCCCAAACTCGACTTAACAACCCTTGGGGCGAATTTCGAGCCCTTCGATGATGATCCCACTCTTCCAATGTCCCCCCTCAATCTCCAACAAACTGAATTGCACATTTCCACTATCTTCATCTACAAAGAACTCTCCAACCTCCAATTCCATCCACCCATTGCCCTCAGGCCGAGGATTTGGCACAACCCCAGGTTCTTGGGATCGAGGAAGTTGTATGGTCTCCAGCTGTTCTGGAGGTAACACAGGCCCTAGGTTCCAAGCTCGAAGAGGGCTCCTCCAAAAACGCCTTACCCTCCTATCTAAGGGTAGTAGGGATGCCATCTTTGTAGAAGGGCTTGCTTGGTTGGCCATGCATAGTGAGAGTTTGGCTAATGGGTATCCTAGACCATATGGGTGCTCAGTGTATTTCATGACAAAGACAGCAACATATTGGGTCTTGGGAGATAGCATAGAGGCGTTGAGTTCAGCATTGATCTCAAGCCAACAAACTGAGCTGAGTGTCGCCACTTCAGAGAACCTGCATAGAGAAAAGGGGCGTTGGCTTATGACTCATGGCCATATGATAAAATCCAAATCATCAAGTGACTCCTGGAACATTTTGGTGCAGTCTTGGTGTGAAAGATGGCCTTGATGATCACTTCTGGGATGAGAAAGCAAAAGCAGGTATCGTGTACCGAATGCCACATCAACAATGACAAGAACAATGATACTAATCTAGAATACGAATCAAATGGTCACATCCAAAACTATCACAATAACTAAGGTGGTGTTCATGCTGATCAGTTGTGATCTAAACAATCAAGCTTGTTACAAAAAATGACAAAAAGAAATAACACAGATACCAAATAAAGAAAAGCGATCACATGGTCACTCCTTGTTTCTTTATAGAAATAACAAGACTAAGTATTGAAAATGCCATTACCAAAGAATAAAAAAAAATGAGTACCATTAACCACTAAGCGAGGAAACTTGCAACAAGTAGGAAAACACTTGAGAAGAACTCATGAGCCTATATACATTGTAAAATAGTGCATTGTTATCTTTTTTTTTCCATTATAGAAGCAACAAGACAATTATTGAAAATCCCATAACAAAAGCCAAAAAAAGGTACCACTGACTAGTAAGTGAGGAAACTTGCGAACGGTTGGAAAACAGTTTAGATGAGCTCATGAGCCTAGATACATTGTAAAATAGTACCATGGATTAAGCAATTCAAGCATAATGGAGGGAAAGTTTAGATAGATACATAGAAGGTAGCTTACAAGCCTTCATGACCTATAAGACCAATGCAAAACTAAAAGGAATCCTATAATTAAGTTCTTATGATCACCTCGTAAAGATCAGGTAAGCTTCTAGTTCACTTGTTTCTGCATAAGGAATTACCTAAATAGCTAAAGAGGGCAAAGGACAAGTTGCTGGCCTGAACTGATACATATATATTAAATAAGTATGTACATTGAATAGGTATGCATATAGATGTTGGTTTTAATGTCCTCTAAAGCTTTAATTATATACGTTTGGGTATCAATCTGCCTGAAACAAACTCATGTGAGGCCAAAAATGGCTGTTACAGGCTAACTGTGCCCAGAAAAAGGGCGCTGCTGCTTAAGTGAAGCCAAAGTTCGAAATACTTGGAATTCGAGGTGAAAGCAATGGAACTCATTTTGCTGGTGACAGAGACTGATATCCCAGTTAAAGTGCAGCCAAACACAAGATGGCTAACTGTGGCAAAAAACTGAGTGATTTCAGTAAACCATGGCCAAAGAGAACAGATGGATTTTTATCTCAAATTTTAATTTGTGTCCATTGCAAATCCTCAGGAATCGTGTTCCTTGCTCTTCTGGAGATCTGCCTTATGGCTTGAAGAATTGAGTTTTGTCTTGACCACATTAAGAAATGGCTTTGCAACTGAGTAAAAATCACCAAGCATCAACATCACTCATAAAGGCTACTCCAATACAGTCTTCACTGGATCTCTGAACTCAAGTAGGTATGGAAAACCAAAACAGTGAACAGGGATTTTGAATTCAAACATTTCGAAAAGGAACCGGTGTTCTTCCGTGGATCCCGAGGCAAGAGATGTTCTCATTGTTTTCAATGTATTAATTGCACTTGAGTTAGAAATTCTAACAAGCTACCGAGTCCAGATAAGCATACCTCCATTATACAACAAAGCCAAGTGAAATAGAATTGCACATCTAAGAAACTTCTGTGAAACGCAGAGTCGAAACAGAATTTCCCTTTTGACTGTGTTAGGACAAGCTCACAATCTCAAACATGGTGTAACAAGTTTGGTGAAAACATTTGCAAGAATAGAGAGAAATTTCAGAATTACAATAACTACTCAAAAACACAACAGAGAGAGTGTGCTCTATTTTTGAGTTTCAAATTGATTATTTTCCAATCCGAAAATATGGTTTTTATAGACTCAAAACTTACGGTTCAGACTATTAAAACAGTCAGGCAAGCAGGAGTGGTTCAAGGACAGCCACATGTCAAATTTGGAGAAAGAGCATTATGAAAGTAGGTGGGAGTTGTTGAGCTTAATGATGGCCAGAACACAAGCCAGACTTGCTAACCACAGTCAAAAGCCATAGAAAAAGGTTTGCCTTATTAGCTGCTATAGGTTGAGTTTGGGCTGAAATTTAAATAGAAGCAATTTGAAAACAGGCCTGAAGTAAACACACACAAGAGTGGACTTCAATTGAGCAATAGCATCAATCAGACACAAAATCAAAGATGTTTGTAGTTGGCTCAGAAACTCCTTAATCCTGATTAAGTTGGTCAGAAATACCAATTAAGACTAATAATAGATTGATTAACAAGGATCCACCAATGCATACACCAAAGGCAAGTTAAGGAACCTTCACAGTTTTTATCTTGTCTTGAAAGTTGAACAAAGCACAATGAAATAGCATGTTCATTCATATGATGTGGGTGATCTCATACATGTATCATGTTATATTCAGATAATGGTTTTAAATCACATCCTTCTATTTGAACAGCATCATAGTCATTATCTTATCCCAACATTTTGGGATCATTTATTCATGATAGGGATTTGACAAAAGTTCTTCATTGGCTGCCAAAGTACCATAATCCTCCTCCTTTCACATCCAGTCATGGGACTGCTAATGGCGGAGTTACATTGTACAACTCAAGTTCAGAAAAGAAAATCTACATTTATTACATCCCTAAAGATGGGAAGTAAGAGCGGCTTTCACCCTTATTGCAGGGGTAGTTTGGTCATTTTATTGCACCAAAGATATTTATCTTTATTTGTTAGGCATGCCCCTGTTAGGAGTTGCCATGCTCCAAATTCCATGTCAAGATGATTTGTATGAAGTTAAATAAAAATAAAATTGTGTTAGGTGTGACATTACAACTAAAGCTATTCAAGCCATCCATTTAGATCTGACGGCTAGGACTAGCAGTCACATATGTTCTACATGCAGGTGGAGCCACATGTAGAGGTTTCCCAAAGAACAAATGTTCTGAAGTAACTTAATAGTTGATAATCCTACAAATGAGGACTAAACCAAATTCCATATTCAAGGACATGATTTTGCCGTAAATTAGATTCATAGGAGGGACGGCATAGGATTCACATTGATTTTACATTAAAGTTAATACATATCTTATAAAACTCTTTTTCCTTTTCCTGGGGACTCAAAAACTTGATGGGCATTGGCTCAGGCCTAAACATGCTATGTTCTAAAGGGTTCATTCCTTTATATTTTTAACAAGTGCATGCAGCACTAAGACCTTGTCCACTAACATGCCTACAAACTGTCAGTACAAGACTGAAATGCATTACAATTACAGCTGTTAATGGTCCAGACAGGGCCGGGTCACTAACCAAAGCACTCTTTGACTGGCCGGGCCAATGGAAAAGCCCAAAAATGTCCCCAACGGTCTGGGCTGGCCCAACAAGCCCAAAGCATATTGTGTCCCAGTCAAAGTAAAAGCCTGGCCCGGCCCACTTATTTATTTATTTATTTTATAAATCTTCACTCTTCAAACGTTTTTTGTAGTAAGCCAAAATAAATAAATAAATAAATAAATAGATGTTAAAATATATTTTAGAACATTTAAAATCCATTCTCTCTCTAAAAACCCAATTTGTCTCTCTCTCTAGAAACCCAATCTCTTTCTCTATTTAAAAACCTATTCTCTTTCTAAAAACACAATCTCTCTATCTAAAAACTCATACTCTCTCTTTCTCTCTCTAAAAACCCAATCCTCTTTCTATCTCTAAAAACCCATATCTCACTAGAAACCCAATCTCGTTCTCTCTCTAAAAACTTACTCTCTCTAGAAACACATTTTCTCTCTCTCTATAGAAACCCAATCTCTCTTGCTGTCTCTAAGAACCCATTGTCTCACTCTCTCTAAAAATGTAGTCTCTCTTTATCTCTGTAAAAACCCAATATCTCTCTCTCTCTAGAAACCCAATCTCTCTCTCTAAAAACTCATGCTCTCTCTACAAACCCAATATCTCATTCTCTCTCTAAAACCCAATATCTCATTCTCTCTCTAGAAACCCATTCTCTCTTTTTCTAGAAACCCAATCTCTCTTTCTCTCTCTAAAAAATATTTTAGCATGTGTTGTTTTTTTTGGCTTACTACCAAGAAAAGTTTGAGGTGTGAGATAAAAAGAAAAAAAAGCAGAGAGAGAGGCTTCTTAATGGGCCGGCCCAGCCCAATATAGTCTTAACAAGCTAGGACGGGCCTCATTGCGACATTTTCGGGCCATGCCAGGCTTGTCATGGCAATTTTTGGGCCGGCCAGTCCCATTGGCAGCCCTAATTACAATTAGTTGGAGGGGACAATGATAGCAAAGGCATCTATGCTATTACGTGTCAATGTGCACATGAAATAGCAGTTTAGTATTTGCCATCATCTGTTATCATGTTTTAGAGTTTAGACATCACAATGACGGAGAACTCCTACATCAGTGGAACCCCATCTTTTTAGACTTAACCTCCTTGCCATGAAGCCGCGTGTTAGGCTACATAAATAATTTCATGTGTCAAGGAACATTATAAGTTTTCTACTGCAATGTATCATCTATTGGTTGTTGGGGGTCTCACCGCAGTGGACATAATCAATATTACTGGGACCAAAATCAAGGGATTTGGAGGCACGAGAGGAGCTTGCTTTTTTCAAAGTGTTAAACTCACCCGTCTTGATAAAATACTGAGGCGCAAACGGATCCTTGCAGGTACACTCCAAAGATACAGTCACATCGGAATACAATTTTTGAGTCCCTGAGTTGCAAACTCATGACACCCATACAAAATCACAATCTCAAGAATACTGATATGTATTTCCAATAGGTGTTATATCATTAAACATCAATTAGAAATAGACTTCCCTCTCACACTGATTATCTTCCACTTGGTAGAAATGATCTTCAATTGGGTATGGTATGGCATCTCTCTCACTACAAACAGTCTTCCAATCGATATACTTCGATTGGTATGGAACACAAATATATCTCACACCATAAAATGAAATAATATTTTAATAGAAACTTGTTACCTGAAAATCAAGTGAATTTTGTGCTAGAAACTATCTTCCTCATCTCCCTATGATGCCAAAATAATGAGAAAGTAAAGGCTCTTTGAACTTTCCTTATAACTCAACAGGTTCTTTTATTAAAGGGGGAGAGTGCTGGTTAAGAGCAAAGCTTAACATTTCCATTCATTTCAGTAAATTGTACCACACAACTAGGGATGGGGCATACATTTTATATATTTTCATAATATAGTATTTTATGATATGCACATCCATCAGACATCACACGAGCGACTTGTTTTTCCCTTTGAACCTTGGACTTGGGATCTCCTTATCTTAGGTAAGGTTCCCATTGCCCTGTGGCATTATACATTTAGACTCAATCCCATCCCTCTAACTATATTCCGGACTTGGTGCCTTGCAGGGTCTTTCATTAGTATTCTACCAAGTGCTGGGTAGAAGTGATATGGAGTATTGTTATGACTCCATCTCAAGCAAAAGTCTCAACTATCTATGCCTCAAGCAAGTATAGATGGATTTGTCGAAATGAATCCCTAACCTTTTGCTTGATATACAAAAGCTTCACAATGACACTGCATGAGACTGCAGGCATCAAGTCCTTAGCCACTTAGCCTTTTTATTATGGGTTCCAAGGCAATTTTTCTCAATCATTTGGAGATACAAGGCTATCTCTTGGAATCCATAAAATACCCCCACCACAAGTGGAGATATATTTGATAGTCATAGATTCATTAGAATCCAGAAAACATCAATGTACATCTTAATACAGCGGATCACCCACATTATGTAGATCATGGTCTAAAGTTCCTTTCAAATATATTAGGGCTCTACAGACCGCATCCCAATGCTCTTAACCTCGATACTGGTATATCTATCCAGGTAACCCACAACAAAGAGTAATCATAAATCTCATACGAAACATGCCTATTGAGGCATAAATCTTGGACTTAACAAAATATCTTCAGATTTCAAGTGCATAATACAAATTAAAAAAACCAGGACCTCACCGGATGTGAATTTAAATCAACTGTCCCTTAGCCGATGGTAATTGGCAGAGATGGGGTGGTCCTTTTATACGACAATGTCACCCCCACTATTTCTATAGGTCCCAAAACAACCTTAAAATTTGAAAACAAACCTGGTGGCACTTCAGTCCACCCACCAAGCAATGGATCCCCCTACTACACTGACATTGGAGATCATAACAAACTATATTCATCAATCACAAAAGCCTAAGGTCTTTGCCTCTTCCGAAGCCTGCAGAAATTCTGCACATGACCGGATCAACCCTAAAATCGACAAATACATGGCTAGCAAGAAAATACCATTGGTCTGTATATTACACACCTTCAAATTTTCTAAGAAATTCCTCTACTACCATCTTAAATGATGTGCATCATCAAAACTGATCTAGCATTACACAATCCTAGTTCTTATAGTTTTGCACGTTATCAATAGACATTTCCAGAAGTAACCAACTTTAACACTTCGAAATTGTTGGTTGTTTGGGGCTCACTGCAGTTAACTATATACATTATGGTGGACATAAACTCCAATATTACTGGGACCAAAATCAGGGGATCTGGAGGCACGAGAGGAGCACATTTTCTTCGTGTTAAACGCCCTCACCTCGGTAAAATTCCGAGGTGCAAACAGTGCCCGACGAGTATATTCGCAGGATACAGCTAGATCGGAATACAATTCCTAAGTCTCTAAGTTGCACACTCATGAGACCCGTACATAACCACAATCTCAAGAATACTGATGGTCTTTCCAATCGGTATTATATCATTATACATCGATTGGAAATAGACTTCACTCTCACATTGATCATCTTCCAATTGGTAGAAATGATCTTCAATTGGGTATGGTATGACATCTCTCTCACTACAGAAATAGTCCTCCAAGAGGTATAATTAACTTTGATTGGGTATGGACCACAAATATATCTCACGCCATAAAATAAAATAATACTTTAAACAGAAACCTGTAACCTGAAAATCAAGTGAGTTATGTGCTAGAAACTGTATTCCTCGTCTCTCTGTGATGCCAAAATAATGAGAAAGTAAAAGTCTCTCCAAACTTTCACTGTTACTCAATAGGTTCCTTTATTAAGGAGAGAGAGCGTGTTTGCTTCCTGGTAACAGGAAGCCGTAAGCTTCTATTAGAGAGAAATAAACATCGCACCTTATAAAATAAGGTGTTAAGAAGACAATAAGGAGGGGTTTCAAGGTTGCCACTTATAAAATAAGGTGTCAAGAAGATAATAAGGAGGAGGGGGTTCAAGGTTGCCATGTAAGAAGGTGGTAAAACCAAAGAACCACCTCATGCAAAACACAAAGAAATAGATGGTGGACCAAAGGTCCATCCTATAAAAATGGACAAGCAAAAACATTTTTAAGAAATTGAGTTGTTTTGAAACACATCTTCAACAAAAAGCTGACATCATCTTTATATATGATTGCTTAACCAACTTCGGATAACCAAAAATAACATGAAGTCATCAAAACCTATCAGATATCTCATTCAAAATGTTCCTAAATAGAGTATAAACTAGCAAAGGACATATGGAAATTTCTAGAATCTTGATTTTCTCAAGAAACATTTGGATATTTTATTATTAACACTGGTGTATATGCAACAAAAATATGAAGTAATCCAATATTGAACATTTCCTTAACGAAGTAGCTCGCATAACACAAAAGGTCTGAACAACTAATTGTGAGTGATATTTCACAAACAAAGTGAATTTCCCAAGTTGTGAGATGAATTAAAAGTCAACCTAAATTTCCATTATTGCAAATTGAGAATATATCATTAATTCACATGAAATTGGTTGAGCACCTATGGGCAATTCATCATCATCATAGCCTTTTCCCAATTAGTTGGGGTCGGCTACACAAATCCTGGTCTGCCCATTCAGAACTACAATACTTTTCTTTCCGATTCAATTAGTGCAGAAGTATTCTTAAAAATAAGACAGAACAAACCTTGATTCAGGTAGAGAATTCCAGTGCCAGTAACGCTCATCATCTCCCCATATAATTGTCATTTCTCTTGCAGATATGATGTAGCATTTCTTACCAGTTGATACATCCAATGAGAAACACTACACCATAAAAGATCCATTGAGATACAAAGACATTGTAAACAGCAAAATGTATCAACTAAATAAGATATCTCTATTCATAAATGAACTATTTGAAAAGAAATCAGTAGAGACAAAGTCTGAATTTGAATAAAATATCAACTGCATTTAGACCAACAAAATTGGTTAATCAAAACCAACTTTTAGAAACCACCTAAACATCATTTAAAGAGCATATGACATTCGAACATGTTCAAACAAATTTTAAGGACCTAACATGACAATCACTCAAAAAACATAAGGAACGGATCAGTTTCTTTCAATTATGTTATGGAGTGAAATTATCATCACTAATATCAGGTTAAGCATTTAAATTATACATGAAAAAAAGTTCATGTCAGAATCGGTCACTCCGTGTCGATTCTAGGTAAAAACAATAAACCGTCCGTGTTTAGAAATAAACCGTACGAGTCGGGCGATTCTGAAATCACAAATCGGTTTATGATGTCATAAGCGAGTCGGGCGTGTACACTGTACAAATTGCGTCACACGAGTTTTGTACACATGCGACGGGCATGCACAAGCACAACTGCTTTTTCACACGGGCGACAGTTCACGCTACCAATGTGTTATTTTTGGAAGCCAATCGTCTTCAAAATCTTTGATGTGGGATTTTAATGTACGCACTATGCAGGCTTGACAATCTTATATAATATATATCTTTATTATTAACATAATACAACTGCGGTTGCATCGTCTATTTGGTTATCGCTACTACCCCTCTCTCAAGGGGTCCTAGCTCGAACCCCCGGGCAGCAACCCACCATCTAATTTTATTTTATGTCCAAAAACAATTTACATTGACAAAAAAAAATAAAAATAAAAATAAAAGTTACTTTGACAAAAAAATAAAAGAGTAATGATACTATGAGACCCTTCCATACCGATGTGAGTAGGACCCCAAAGGATCACCATTAACTTGTATTTTATGTCAAAAAAAATAAAAAATATCAAAAGAAAATTACATGGACAAAAAAAAAAAAAGTTAAGACAAAAAAAATAAAAGTTACTTTGACAAAAAATAAAAGTTATGACAAAAAAAAAAAATTTACTTTGACAAAAAAAAAAAAGTTACTTTGACAAAAAAATAAAAGAGTAATGATACTATGAGAGCCTCCCACACCCATGTGAGTAGGACCCCAAAAGATCACCATTAACTTTTCTAGAGATTTGTGTCAAAATTTAATGGTGATCCTTTTAATGGTGATCCTTTGAGGTCCTACTCCCATGTGTGTGGGAGGGTCTCATAGTGTCATTGCTCAAAATTAAAAACTATCTTGACAAAAAAATATAATTTTGTCAAAAAAAAAAAGTTACATTGACAAAAAAAAAAACCTTATCTTGACAAAAAAAAAGTTATTTTGACAAAAAAAAATAAAAGTTATGACAAAAAATAAATAAAAGTTACCTTGAAAAAAAAATAAAAGTTAGCTTTAAAAAAAAATAAAATTTACCTTGACAATAAAAAAAGTTACCTGGGCAGCACCGTCTCCTTATTTTTCTTGTCAAAAAAAAAAACAAAAGGTAATACAACAAGTGTTTATTGTCAATAAATAAATAAACAATAATGCAACAAGTATCATGCTTTTCAAGCACGAATTTGAATTTTGTTTATTCTAAAAACCTTAAAAATTTTGATTTTTGAAACCCAAAAAAGTAGATTTTTAAAAATTGGTATGCATTCTAATCATTAATAATCAAATCTTATATTTTATTTATTAATTTATTTGCATTATAAATTATGCAATTTACTATTTTTTTTTACAATTGTCAATAATATATTTTAAATTAGATGATATAATAATATATTTTGGATTTGTTATTATTTGTATAGTAAAATAGTTATAAAATGTAAACCAACCAATTTCAATTTTAGTGTACAAAATTATAATTTGTTAGGTTGTAATAATTTTAGATTAATATTAATTAGGTCTTTGGCTTTTTTTTAGTGGATTAGGGCTTCCACCAATTCGAGATTTTGGTGGCCATATTTTAATCGATTTAATCCATTCTTTATTATAATCCATGTATGCTTATACACTTCATTCATGATAATTCTATGATTTTTTTCTTGTGTAATATAAATTTAATGGTGGAAAGAACATCTATATATTCGCATATCCATGAAAAAAGTGAAAGCTAATAATTTAGTACCCTATTTTTTATTGGATTTTTAAAAAACAACATTTGAATTTTAGTAATTTTTTTAAATATTTTTTTTAAATACTTTTTTTAGATTTTTTTTAAGATTTAATTTGAAAGCGGATTCCCGGACCGCCGATTCACCAATCCAGGTTTTTGAGGTGCCCGATCCGAGGCACCAGTCCGTTTTTTAAACCACTGCTCAAAACCTAAAAGGATATTCAAACCTTTTAGTTCAATCAACAGCAAAAAAAAAAAGGTCTTTTCATTCATCAGAAGTTTTTTAAACCACTGCTCAAAACCTAAAAGGATACTCAAGCCTTTTAGTTCAATCAACAGTAAAAAAAAGGTCGTTTTATTCAATCCAGATTAAATAAGAAAGAGACAGATCATATTAAAAAAAAAAAAAGCAGAGAGGAACACACTCAAATAAATCCATCAAAGAAGAAAGGAAAGATACCAAAAAAAAATGGCCAAATTGAGAGAGAAATCACCCACCTTCCTCCCACCATCAATGAGAATGGGCGAGAAGCACAGCTTCAAAAACAACTCCTTTTTCGAATCAAAAACCACTTCAGAAACAGATCTTTTCAAAACCCCATCAATAATATCAGGAGGCATCAACCTCTCCCACACCGTATCAGCAATCGAAGCAGACAGAAAAACTTTCGACACCAAACCCATCCTGCAAACCTCTTTAGGCAATCCCATTAGAGACAGGATATGTGATATACAATTCTCCGGTAAGTCGGAAAATTTAGTTTCCGGTGAGTCTGCAAAGTTTTCTGGCGGGTTTAGGAGGTCTTCCGGCAACGACGTCCTCATATTTGAAATCAAAGACAATCGACGAGTGTGAATGAAATGGATTTATATGGGAGGTGAATTTGTCGATGGTGTTTGAGTAGTGACGAAGGAACCTAAGCTTTTGCCTGAAGAGAAGATGAATGGAACCGCGAGTGCACAGCATATGAGATATTATTTATCATTTATTTAATTTCTTCTAAAAAAAAGGGGTCAGATGCACCTTTCCAGCCGTCTCTATCCCTTCGACACGGTCGCAAGGGAATTTACGATAATGCCCACGAAATATATTTCCTTTAGACAATAGAATTAAGGTTCATGTCCAAACTTTATTTGAGGACGTAATTTTTGGTGTAAAAACTTTTTGGGTGGCTACAAAATCTATTTTTATATCAAACTATAAAATTTTAAGGGAGAGGGTTCTATACTTCCGATACAGCTTAGAAATGATATATTTACCTGAATCCAACTATCCAATTTAGGTCAAGTGAGTAAGTGACAACTTGATTTAAATATGATATTTTATAGTATTTTTTTTGTATTTTTTTTTACAAATTTTATGAATATGAAATTTGATATTTATCATCTTCTCAATGGTGCACATCTAAAATACATATTAAAAAGGATTTTTCGATAAAATATAGTGATCCCTTGAATTTTATAAGGGTATTTTGATTATTCTATTTTATTAAGAATATTATTTTATATCTTTTTCAAGTGCGAGTTTAAGAGAGGAGTCAATGCCCAAAATTTAGTGTCAAATATTTTGTAGAAAAAACATTAAAAACAAAATAGCATAGAGACATGACATTGTGATTAGTCATCTTAGTTGTCCATTCATAATGGACGGTTTGATAGGCGGAAGCATATTAGTTTTATGCAGTAGGAGAACCATAGAAAGCCCAAATTTTAAACCCCAAATCCTAATTCAGATCGAGCAGAGCTACAAATACTTTGAAAATCTTGAATATTGATAGTTTAGATAATATATTACAATATACATTATTTTTAAAACTTGAGATTCTTTTTTTTTTTTTTGTATATCTATACACCCGGCCTTCGAGATGATCAATTGGAGAGCTTTACAATGCCTCTAGAATATTTTCCGATGGAATTTTTTAAATATGTCCTTACTTCTACAATATAAGGTTGATGCCTTATATAAACTTTCTTTTTTCCCTCTTTAAAGCGAGCAGTAATTTTATGCAGCGGTTGTATAATAATATAATGCAATAACCTTCAAAAACCATGTTAAAGACTTTTGTTTGATCCAAAATTTTAAATATACACTCTTTTCATTATAATGAACAATCACAAAAAATAAAAATATGAAAATATAATCTGGAAATTATTTTTTTAGCCCAATTAATATAGGCTATCCATTTTGGTGAGATGTTTAGATCTAGGCTTTAGAAGGATTTTTTATTTTCTTAATCTTTTAGATGGCTTTATAATAGATGATTTTGTAAAGGTTAAGATCTTGAAATTTACCAAATAAATGGTCTAGATTCGTTGTTGGAGGGGACTCATTTTGATCATATCTACGTGCAAATTGAATTTTTTTTTTATGAATTGATTATTGAAATGAAGAGAGTGTGTATAAAATTTTGGGTCATCAAACATAATTTTTGAGAAATATGATTATATTATATTATGATACAACCATTGCGTTAAATCATTAACCCCTGCAAAAACAAATGTTTATAATGCGTATTATGAATAATTTAGCTTTTAATAAGTGAGATGAAGGACCTTCCAAGGGAACCGTCTCCAAAAAAAGTCAACGTTTGTACCCCCATGCTTTAAGTCCTTATTTTGAGTTTTTTCAAGGAATGCACGTTTGCATATAATGACAAGAGAGCGCTTTTTGAAGCCAAGCTAATAGCATGCTAGAGAGAAAAATGGTCGAGTTGACTCATAATTGCGTCGTACGGAGGATATCCAAATAAAATCTGATTCGGACTCGGGTGATTTGGCCTAGGTATTTTTTTCTTGTTCTCTTTTCAAGTGGTAAAAAAGGTTAAATAAATTTTTTTTAATATTTGTCTTTAACCAATAATTCATATCTAACCTCTATTTTGATGGATTTGGACCAAAATGATACCTCTTTGCTACAAAAATTTATTCTTTTGATCAATAATTACATTTGGGCAAAAAAATTTCAAAAAAATTATCCGCATCTTTAAGCTCTAAAGCCCAATCTACATTTCTTTGCTTCTCAACCAAATCAATGTTAGTGTTGGAGTTTTCTAAAAGGATCCCTATAGCGATTTGTTAGATCTAAAACAAACTAGATGAACCGAGAGTCCAGATTTTTGGGATTTTTGGAACTCAAAAATAAAAATATTTGATTTTCTCTGGTATCAAAATATTTGCTGAAATTTTTCCTAAAATCTTATTGTCGCCCAGATCATGAAAGGCTTAACAACTCTTTCGAATCAAAACAAAAAAAATCTCCAAAACTTTCCACTTTTCATTCTCAGGGTGTTCTTTATTTCAATTTTTCCATTTTGATTGTTTTAAACCTCCTACTAGGTTAAATAGAATAAATTTGTTTGAATAAATTTTTTTTTTCTTTTCTATATTTTTGCCTCTTTTTTTTGGCATTTGGTTTTGGAAAAATTACATATATAACCGTTATACTTTACGTTATTATGGATGTACCAAGTAGTTTATGGTATTACATATATGTCTGTTTTTTACCTTTTATAACGTAATTTTTTTAAAAAAAGGACTTTACCCTTATTCGGATGTTGAATAATGGAATTGGAGGGTTTTTCGGATGTTCAACATCCGAAAATAGGCCGAAAGTTTAACGTTTACAGTCCAGAGATTTTCTGGAAATTCAAAATCATATTTTCAGATGTTGAACATTTAAAAATATGACATTTTCGGATGTCCAATATCCGAAACCATTTTTGGATGTTCAACATCCGAAAATGTGATATTTTCGGACGTCTAACATTTGAAACCATTTTCACAAGGAATACAATGTGTCGACATAACCCTTCATTTCGAATGTTCGACACCCGAAAATGGGAATGTGAACGTTAAACTTTCGGATATTTTCGGATATTGAACATCCGAAAACTCCAATTCGATGAATTCAACATCCGAAAAAGGGTAAAGACATCTTTTTTAAGAAATTACGTTACAAAAGTTAAAAAACGGACATACATGTAATAACAGAAAACTATTTGATAAATCCGTAATAACACAAAGTATAATAGATATTTATGTAATTTTCTCTTTTGTTTTTGTTTTTTACCCCTAGTCGGTGAAGCTCACTCAACAAGTTCGCCAAGCCGATTCAAACTTGGAAAGTACCTAGTTTGGGTTTCTTAACCTGATTTTTATACTGCATAAAATGATAGGGGATTATATGCTATACCAATATTTTGCTGCGGTACAAAGAATTCACAATTAGTTTTGAATCCTCGCATGCATAAAAAGATAGGGGATTTAATATTTTGCTTTGGTACAAGGAGTTCACAATTAGTCTGAATCCTCGTATGTAGCATCTGATAGTTTGGGTATAACATGGTTCAAAAAACTTTCTTTTAAGTTTGAGACTAATCAACATGACATACCCAACTGTAGAATTTCATATCCAATGTCCAAAATGGATTGTGACCACCTTGTATTGATGATAGTGACAGATGGTATTGTATAATATATAAAATAATTCATTGTATAATATATAAATAATAAATTCTTATATACGCCCCTTGACAGTCCTCTTGTTCATGTGATCCGCCCAAAATAGTGGGCGGCAATACAAGTTGATGTTAGTATTTTGGTTTTGAAAACACTTTGGTATATTTTAAAATAACATAAAGTTTTGTGTGCTTTTTTTAAGTTCTAAATTATGTCGAGAGAGAAAAGAGTGGGTTTTACTCGTACATTGAAGAAGGAAGTGTGGATTAAATGGCATTTAAGCGTGTGCATTCACATGATTTATATTTTTAGGACAAATCTGATAGTGGTGGTGCATATATAAAGCGCACAAAATGTGCAATGAACGTGCATATGAAAGGGAGTCAAGGCGTTTGATGGTACTTTATGAGTCATGGCTCGTGGAAATCCAATGGCTCGAGCCATTGAAGTCATGAGGCACATATAATTGATCTCAACTATTGAGATTAAGGATGATGCATGTAGCTGTTCACATCCAACAATAAACAGGTTTTGATGGTAGCTGTTTGAAATCTAACAGCCATATCGTGTGGTGTAACGATATGAAATTGTTCACTTGAACAGTCAATGCAAAGCTTTTCAGTGCTTTATACTTTTTCCCATTGTTGGTACGTCATTCTCTACTCTTGATTTTACATATCCTTGTCACAATCTCTTTCCCTCTCTACTCATTCTCTCTCTTTCTTTAAATTCGAACTCACTCTCTAGACAACAATACTCTAGTTCTCTATAATAGGCTTTTGGTTTAGGTGTATAGAATCTTAAAGCACATCAAAAAGGCTTTATGTTTTCTTGTATTATGAAGATGAGTTGCCTTTCTTATACACCTTTGTATAGTAATTAAAGGGAGACAAATACCAAAAGCACTTTTGCGAGCATAAAAACATAAAGAAAATTCATTCTACTTTTTACCCTTTTTCACCCGACTGCTTTCCCACACTTGGGAGTTTGCCACCGGTATGGGTGGATACCAACAATGGAGTTGGTAGATAAATCCCATATTGGGTTGGGATTGTATACAATAAAATTTTTTACTTTCGATATAGGGAAATCACAATTACTTATAACTATCCGATATGAAATTTGATAGTTTGGGCGTGTCACAAAGTTCAATAAATTTTTTTTTGAAATTTGAGTTCGGTCAATGAAATAAATGCAGCCAACCAATTTCATATCCAATGGTCATGATTAATTGTGACCACCTTGTATCATAGATTAATCATCTCATTATATACTTTCCCTATTGAAATAAGACATAGAATTGCTGTTGTGTGCGAGTAGTATGATTTGTCTGATCAAGTGATGGACGGCTGTAGAGAGGGGACCTATCATGTTTTTCACCTTCTTGTCAATCCTGCTCTCACTCCATCATCGTCAATTAGTTTTTTAGTGAATGATAATAACACATATGATGCCGCTTGTAGTTCCCCCTTTTTCTTTCTTTTTTTTTCT